AAAGCATGCAAATGCAAGTAGATAAATAGGTCCCACTTTGGTGGGAAGATAACAGCATCCTGTGCAGTCATGCTGGCCACCTGATCACAGAGTAGTCTCTGACAACGCTGGCTCTTCGGCTTAGTAATGGAGATGAGCACTGCCTCCTATGACTTGTGAACACTGCCCTGGACATGACTTGACAACCTTGTCAACGGGGAATATCTTTACCTTTTAAGTACAAGAGTGGTGATGCTGGAAATCCAGATATGCCTAAGAGAAGGCAAAAGCACTTTCCTTAAGTGAGAAGGTGAAAATTTCCTCTTCTGATGATACTTCAGAAGGTCATTCCTGACAGTTTTCAGTCACTACAATGCCTACGTTACTCATTTCTGGTAAGAAAAATGGCATGCATGGTCATCTGCAGTTTTCATTATATACAAATAGTCCTGGAACATATTCCTCGCATTAAATATAGTACTGTACCAAATTTTGCTGCAATAGGGGAAACTTTAAAAAGAGGGAGCAATGGACTACAACTTAATTCTTTCGGATTTTAACCTCCAATAAACTTAAAACCCTTTCATTTGGGCTACGGTTGGCAAGTTTTACCTATATAGCACCTAAAAGAACAGGATGGGGGCAGCCTGGATCTTAAGGGAAGTTATTTTTCTGTTGCACAATGGGGTTGAACATTTATTTTTTTGAAATTGTGTGCCTTCAAGTCATTTTCGATTTATGGCGATCCTAAGGCGGGGTTTTTTGGGGCTGAATGTGTAATTCACCCAAAATTTTGAGTGGGTTTCCATGACCAATTGGGGAGTTGTACCCTAACACTGAAACTACTGCATGACACTAGCTCTCTTGCCCATCTTTTATTAACCTTTGCCCCTGGTCCCCACATAACTAAGAAGGGGAATGGCCCCTGTTTGCATTGAGATCCCTCAGTACCATTTTAAATGACAGGAGCCTAGCATATGAGACAAAATCCAGGCCTGTGACTCTTCTTCTTGTATTTATATCCCAACCTTTCACCAAAACAGGGACCCAGAGTGGCTCACAACATTAAAAACAGTACAATAGCAGGTACATTAAAATAGAATTAAATTATTTCAATGTTAAAACAAATTATATGTTAAAAGAATAAAATACACCTAAAAAGATAAAAATGTTAAAAAATAGTTTAAAACAATACAACACCTCATTCCCCCGATAACATTAACTCTTAACATTGTTGCCTTTCTTTTCCTGTATGATTTTAAACATCTTTGCCTGACAAAAAAGCCAGGGAATCTTTGAAAGCCTGCAGGATGTATTTTTTAGATTTGGTTGGTCAATAAAGATAAAAGTGGTTTGTGGATTTTGGGTTTTGTTGTTATTTGAAATGTGGTGCTGGA